TCTCTCCCGGAAAATATTAAGTCGTAAAAACTTGCATGTTTTTAAACATATTTGGGTGTTACTATTCTCTTCCAGAATATTTTAAATTGTAAGGTTTTTTAATTTTATGACCTTTAACTGCTTTAAGTAGCGGTGTTTTTTAAATTGTTTTTGTGTTTAATGTTTTTATATTTACAATTATTTTTTTTTATTTGTAATAATAGTGTACAGTTTTACTGTATCATTATATTGACTATTGCTATACATGTATTAATGTCTATATGCAAAATAAATAAACTAAACTAAACTAAACCTAAAATTTGACAAAATTGTTATTACTATTATTTTAATAATACAATATAGAAATTATTATATTACAATATTTGCTTGCTAGATGTGGCTACAAGCTAGACATTGATATAATTCGAAGCTACAATATATAGATATACACAATACAAAACTAATTCACATTCGAGGCCTAAGTATATGAATGAAACGCTGCAGATTAAAATGGTTGAAAATGTATGTTCTGGAACCCCTCGGTTTATTCAACCGTCAACTAGGTGACGAACAAAGCAAAAATAACCGAATTTATTTCAGGGGTGTTTCTTTGAAAATTTATATTCCCCTTATATCTCCTGGATATTAATTCAACATGTTATATTAACTTAGATTAAAAAAATTTCACATACGCAAATAATCATGGTTATTTTTTTTCAGATCATACTCAAATTGTTTACCGAAATGAAAATCGTCCTCATCCTGTTAAAGATAAAAAAATCATTGGGATAGAAAATTTTAATTTTTTAAAAACAGTAAAGTTACTAAAAATAAAATATTTCTACACCAATGACTTTTTAACATAATTTAAAAATAAACTGATACACGTCGTGGTGATTTTAGTGCCGTAATACAAGTCCGTGTGTTTCAAAAATTCACTCATGCTGTCCACAAAGACAGCAAGGACGCAGCGACACGGGAATTGGAATTTTCACGTCACTTTTCAAAGTTTCCGTCATCGCGCCCAAAATCGTCCGAGCAGTCCAATCCCACCTCAGCAGTACAGTTCTGCCAACGACGCGAGTTAAAGGAGGAATAGCCGTTCCAGGTTCGAAACGTCAACCCGATCCATCGGCAGTTCAGTAACCAGTGTACGGATACCTGGTCAAAGTTTATAGTCGCTCTAAATTTATGCAGTATATTATGCCAATGTTATATGCCTGTATTCATTTATTGTATTAATGCCCGAATTGATCAATAAATCAAATATTTATAAAATATTTCTTGAGCTATATTCTCTAAAAAATAGAGACATAATTGATTAAATTATTCATTCACTATTCCCGCGTACCTATTAATACATCCTGAAGTACCTCTAGGGATACCTGTACCGTGTATCTCTGGTTGAATATGTGTTAAATCATACTTATCTTAATGGTGCAATCAATTCTCACACTACTGAACTAATTTTATTTACTAATAGAGAGACATAGATGAGTTACGGAGACAGAAGGGGTTACTTAAATATGAAGTTTTCTGTAATAATGTTCATAGTCTAGTCACAGCTTAGTCTAGTGCTTGGTCTAATACGTCACAAGTTGAAAACAATGGAGTACGATTTGAGATTTGAATTAAAATTTTTAAAATCAAATAAAAATTTATATAAGGAGATTTTAGCGATATTACTTGTATAGATCGCATTAACTTTCATTGTAGAGTAGTATTTAGTGACAAAGTACTACCGTTTGTTAATATGCAACCACTCCATTGTCAGTTCCGTAATAAATCGTATACGGGGAGCTGATTTTAAAATGCATGGAACCGATATTAACTTTCAACATTAATAAATTGCTCGATAAATTGTCATAAAAATATGAAAAAAATTCCTAAAACTAGCCCCTCATTAACACCATGAATGTGAGTCATCTACTGGTCCAAGAATATTAAAAAATATTAATGACGCTGCTAGATAAATTAGAATTAAAATGAAAATGGGTCCATAAGAATTATTCAGCATATAATCAAATGAAAATAATAGTTTTTTGATTATGGAGCAAACTTATATTTAAAAAGTGGGAACCATATTTGGTTATGGCTTAGAAAGTAAGATTTTTCTGCTTTTCAATGATATACAATGTCTTAATTATTATTTGTACAAATATAACCAGGAATAAGTTTGTAAATATTTTATTTGATAGCTAAAATAATAATCTGTGTAATAAATCCGTCAAAAATACTTTACATAGGTACATCTTTTTTTATAGACATTATTTTTTGTGAAATGAATTTATGTAACTGAATTTGACTTCCTGCAATAAGAAATAAAAAAATAATTAATTAATAATTTTATAGCACTTGCAACTGTTATGTTATATAAGAGTAATTTATTTTATCACCGACTAGGTATTCTTATAAAAAGAATCCTTATTTATTTATAAAACACCCTGTATTTCTCATGTTAGTAGAAATAACTATGATAATCATGAGATTCCAAATTAGCTTAAACAAATTTTACTAAAACCAACGTGTCAGTGATGATTCTTCTGTCACAGTGTTTTATTTAATAATTAATTTTTTTAGACATATTTAAATAGTTTTACTCGAGGTTTTACTCGAAGTAGAGTTGTTTACTGTTAACACTCTGTATACGGGGTATTATTTCAGGAACTAGTTACATGTCCACTATTTTAAGTCACTCATATCTATACTGTTACATTATGCATCTAGACATTTTTCTTTAAAATAAATCAGCAACACCTCAAAAAGGGTTTTAAAACTATAACATTTTGTTTCAGTTTCATAAAAAATTGAAAGTGAAAAAATAAAAAATGATCTAATTGCTGCTACTCTTGCTGCAACTTGTTAAGTATAAGTACTGTTGCTTAAATGGTTAGCTATAATTATGATGCACTAATTACACACTTATGTATGTACAAAATGAAATCACTTTAAGTGCAAATAAGATTGCCTAATTGTTGAAAGCTTGTATAAAGCATTTTATTTTGACTAGCGCTTTCAGGAAATGACTCAAATAAAGAATATGTAAAGAAGTTAAAGGCGTAAATATTTACAGTAAGCAGGGTTATTAAGTAAGAGATAATGACTTACAGACTACTACTAATCTTTTGATGCAAATAAGTAAACTCATGTATCTTAGTATCGAGCTCAGCTTAGTACATATATTGTACCTATATTGGAATAGATTGGAAAACGGTCTTCAATATAATTATGCTATATTAACCTATAGCTCCTCAAAAACAAAAAATGATAAATAAATTCAGCAGTTTTGAACAAATATCCTGAAATTGAAGATTTTCTATATTTCTCCACGAAACAATCTATTAAACTATTCCTTGTGTAGATAGTTGTGTTGTTATCACATTCAATTTGGAACATTTATAGTCGATTTGCAAGAGTTGTATTAGGTACTTATTTTAAGAATTCATATTTATCTTGCTCAATCATTGAGTACCTACCCAACAATTTTATTGCATGCCAATGAAGGAGATAGCTACTAAATAAACCTAAATAACCCATTAACATCAGCTTTACCAAAAAGTGAACTAATTATTATTACTATTAATGACCTTGGCAGATTAAAAACTATTAGGTTACCTACTCGATGACTGATACACATGGCTTCAAGTGTTTGCACAATCTTACGTATAGTTTATATTACCAGAACAATGTTGCATCATTCTAGATATCAATGAAAATAACATTTTAAAATTAAGTAGGTACCCAAGTTTTCATGGTACGCTTTAATGTAGGTATTAGGTACTGAAAATGTCACTTATCAGTCAACAATCACATTATTCTAAAAGTAGTGATGGAATTAACCAAAAATGTATTCTTTAGTTAGTAGTACCACAAAAAAGAACTATAATAATAAAATAATAATTGTACATAATAATGTTCGACATAAGAATTTTACCAATGTTAAACTAGAAATATAATCAAATAAGTAGGAAGTAGGTACCTATCTGCAATATCTATATACCTAGTAAATTTAGATTCTGTTTTCTGTAAATTTAATACAAAAATATCAATGAATATTCTAATGAGTAATAGGTATCAATATAGTAAAGTTTCAAATTTAACATATAAGTAATATATTTAATTTGATTAGAAACAATTTTTAATATGTAGATGAGAAAATTTCTGAAATTTTAACTTAATGAGACTTGGTAATTCTACTTTTATTCAAATATACGTAACTACATTCCAAATTGTTAAGTAAAAATCACTATGACATAATGTATTACAAAAAATATTGTAAACCAAAGAATCCACATATTAGTCAAATAGAGAATAGGTATAGTGATAACTCAATACCAACTACCACTTGAATTTCATTTATCTACCTATATTGTTATATTTTTTATCAGCTTATATGCTTACAAGTGTTACAACATATGTGAAAAAATGTAGGCTTGGGTAAAAATATTCAAAATATAGCAACAGTTATGTTATCACTGCAGCTAATGTGACTGGGCTTTTGTTCAATAAGTGTAAACAAAGTAGCATACTTACTTGATTTACGAGTATGAGTAGGTACCTGAAAATATTAATTTGTAGGTACCGTATAATTACTCCCACATTAGCTGCATATATACCCACATAAAATTTTATTATGCTAAAAAGGCGTAGGACGCAGAATCTGTGTCTTGTTGTTCAAAGGTTCTTTCGTTTTTTGAATTATTGGGATTCTAGAATTTCAAGGTCGCTTCATTGATCTAGCTGTTACATTCTAGAAGTTAACAAAAATAAATACTCTGGATATGTTGCTACAAAAATTAGTATCCTCAAAATAGACCGCGGCGAACCGATAATAGGTTAGGTGTAGGTTCACGAATTCTATAGTACGTACTTAAATGTTAACATATTTATAATTTACTCTCATTTGATTTGATAATACAATAACTGCCCACTTTTATCCGTCATTTTATTTTAACTCGTACAATAATTTTAATAACAATGTATTGTTTATCCTAACATTACTGCAACAATTATGTTCTTACCTGCAAAGTGGGAGAAACTTATCAAAAATTGTTTTTTAATACTTCATGTCACCCATAGCTGCTTGAATGTGTATACACAACCGTTGAGTATCACTAATTTTCGTCTTTTTCTAAAATATATCACCTTATTTAAGATCACACACTAGTCACTTTTATTATTATTAAACGGTTTACTGCACATCAACGACAAACATAAACTTTTTACACTAATGCAGACTATTTAGAGAACTCACCCAGGTGCAGGTATCAGACAAAAGTCACTATCTGCTATGACGCACTCTATCGCGAATGAGTGGGAACTGGAATCAGAGTCGGACTAAGCTGTAACGCTGTCTAATAAAAATCGTTGAAAAGATTTTTATAATTACCATTCATTAAACAACTAAATATTCTTGGTACAGTTTTTACTTCGTTTGTTCTAGTTTTTATCTATGCAAGTATTGATTCTAACAATTAATATGTGTGATTGCCGAAACCCCACTTTGTTACGGTACAGGTTCTTTACTTGTCTAACATTAGATAAGGGACCTACGGTTTTATATTCTTTCTATACAAACCTAAATTTGTATAACGTTTGTGAATACACCAACATATAGGTCACTAGACGGGTGGACGAGCATCGCGAGCGCGAGTCTTTTGCGGATGATCACCCAGATTACAGACAAATGTTCTGTGGACATGAATGCTAAGTCGCTAGGTCTCATTCAAGTTGAAAAATGGAGGTAACAAGTAATCAATCCACGGATGCTATTAGAACACCCGACAATACCAACAAATACTAACCATGACACAGCAAATCGTCGATTTGCAAAAAACAATTAAACTTTCGGACGAAAACACCACTAAATTACACCAAAAACTTCACAAACTCATTAACAAACAAATGACCGACAATATATCCCAGACAGGCACACACACACACACACACACACACACACCACACACACACCCCGCACACACACGGACAGAGAAACGCAAAAAAAACACACGGCGGAATCCTCTAGCGAGGACGAAGCCCCAAGACATAAAAAATCAGACAAAACAAACAAAACACGACCACAAACACCAAACACGCGNTTTCTGGCGGTAGTAATTTTAAATGCTACAACCTTTTTAGTAGTGACGTCACATACGCCAAATAATAGGCAACCCCATAGTACACATTGTCATGAAGAATTTCTCAGTATTTTTACTAGATCGATTTTCGACCTTATGTACTTTGGACATAAGTGCAACAAAAATGTCTTCTTTGTCATAACCTTTAATACCGCGATATTCGGGCAATATTATAAATATTTAATAAGTTTCAAACCCCAAGTGACAAACTAAAAGAATTATAGAATTTATATTTTTAAATTTAAAGAACAATATTGACTTTTATAGTAATTAATAAATTAAAATTATATCAATGTTACTGAGCATGCGCATTAAAGATAATTTCACGTACGCCTCGCAACAGGATACCAATCAAGACAACTTTGGTTCTGGTTAAGAGTACGTCTATATAAATCACTTAAAGAAAAAAAACTATATAAACCGACTGACACAGCAGAACACCAAGAAAAGCAATATAAAATACATGGTAGAAATTGAAAATGCTAAGATTAAGCAAAAGAAGAGAAAATACGCTGTTGATGACAGTCATGATATATCAACAAGATCTCACTTGCGTATGAGGCTATTCTTCTCGAGCAGAGCGCCATTATTCCATGGCTAGAAATTGGCCTCAATGATTTGGGATAGAGGGGGATTATCCCTCTTTATCCTGCCTCATCTCGTGTAGGCCTGGACAGCTTTCGTAGGTGGGCCCCATCCGTCGTCTACCCCGACCGCAAATGCGGCCGGTGTAGGCGCTTTGTGCCCACAAAGCCTTTTGTCCTTTTGTCCTGGCTGGGCCCCGCTCGCTAGGGCCCTTTCTTCTGGCGCTCTTCTTGCTTCGCCGGCTCGTCTGTGTAAACCCCGGGGGTTATGTGTGGTATGGTTGTGGTATGGTTGGGTAGGGTAGTGCGGCTATGCAGCCTGGGATGCGCTTTGCTAAGGTGGCCCTTAGGCTAGCGCGGGAGGGGAGGGTTAAGGAGGGTATGGGGGGTGTGTATGTGTGTGTGTGTGTGTCGTTGTCTTCGTTTCTTGATCCTGGCTGTCTCTGAAACAGAAAAGGTTAGCGGGCAGGGGGGGGGGCATTGGGGTGGTCACCCAGGGTCAAAAAGTTGGTGTCTAGGTCTTTTGTGTTTGTCGGTCACGTCGGGTACGTAGTCAACGGCTTGCCTGAGGAGGGGATTGTCATGTCTAGCGGCTACGTCAAACCGTTTCTCCGCGTTTTGTCTTATTGTCTGTGTAGCGTTTGTGTATTGTAAGTCTCGTAATATGTCAGTGTTTCTTACGTACCAGGGCGCGTCGGTGGCCGTGCGGAGGGCTATGTTTTCCACAGCCTGTAATGACTTTAAGTGGCTTTTTGCCGCGTGACCCCACGCCGTGGAGGCGTAGGTTAGCTGCGGTTGAAGTACCACCTTGATAAGCGTTCGCTTATTCCTTAAACTGAGGGCGTTTCCTCCTTTGAGTAAGGGATAGAGATAGAGCCTAGCCCTGGTGGTTTTCGCTCGCGTCACCGTCTCCACGATGTGCGGTTTCCACGTGAGACGCTGGTCCATCGTCACGCCCAGGTATCGTGTTTGTCGATTCCTGGAGATGGGTTCCTGGGATAGTGTCAGTCTGTCGAGGTTTTGTGGGATTTTTCGTTTGGTAAAAAGGATAGCCGAACTTTTGTTGGGATTAATTTTGACTTTCCACCTGTTGCACCAGGTTTCAAGTTGGTCTAAGGAGTTTTGGAGGAGGTAGACGGAATATCTAGGATCTACGGATTGGGATGTGATTGTCAGGTCGTCGGCGTATAAGTATATGTTGGTGTTGGGGGGATGTGGGATGTCGGAGTTGTAAATGGTGTATAGGTGTGGGGACAGGACGGTGCCCTGGGGGACACCGGCCTCCATGGGACGGGTGGTGGAAAGGAAATCTCGAGCAGAGCATTAGGAATAACGGCTAATGTTAAATTTTTACTTTATTTAAATTTAATAATATTCTTTTATATCATTTTTTGTAAGTTTTAAGCACATTAGTGTATCTATTTTACGGACACTTGTTGGCTGTTCTTAAATCTAAATCTTTGTAAAAATAAGTTAATTTGAAATTGTTCATTTCAATAGTATCTATGTAAATATAAGTAAACAAGGGTCAGATTTTTTTAAGACTGAATGTCTTTAGCCATATGGGTACCTAACTAAATATTACTCATATGTTGTCTTTAACCCATGTTGTTTCCTTCATAACCTTAAGATTGTAACCTGAAATCAAAGCAGCTGATTGGCGGAATTTGAAACTATGCCGTAATTTTTTAAATTCAACCAATCAGCTGCTCTGATTTTAAGTTATAATCAGAAAATCATGAGCGAAAGAATTCGCCATTTATCCGAATTTAATAAAACTCTTCAACGCACAAAATTTTGATTTGTACGAGATGTTCTGAAAAGACACGTGTATACATCCCCAGCCACTACAATACTATTGATTTGTTAAGCAAACTATCAGAAGAACCGTAAGAGCTACCACAAAATATAATTGTATCAATAGTACCAATATACAATAGTACCAATGCTAAGAGGTAATTGGTTATAAGAATATAAAGATTAATACTAAGTTTGTATTTTAAATTTTTCAAATATGACCATATCTTTCCTAATAACAGAGACAAAATAATGATTCAAAAAACAATCATAAAATAGCCTTCTTTAAATTGAATGCAAGTAGGGATAGTGATTGTTGTGAAGAAATTAAATACCTGTAGGTAGTGTTTTAAAAATATATGAAAACTTTTTGCATGCTCATTACTAATAAAATGAATGAGAAACAATGACATCTGTTGGATAATTTAGAAATTACACATCTTTCAACTTACCTTCGTTTCTGGAAGCTACACCTTTGCTGGACCGTGATATATTTTTTTTTACTATAATCGGATATTGTTTATTTAAAAATTTTCCATCATTCTTTCTGATAGAATAAATTTTAGTACGTCAACAATTATTTTTCTTAGTGTATTTGCTTGTTTTTTTTTTATAACTAGGAATTTACGAATACTGCTTAGGTATGGACAGTGAAATAAAAGACATAGGATCTATTAATTTACTGTTTACTGCACAAAATATATCATCGAACATGTCACTGCGTACAACACTCGATTTTACAGTACCGGTTCATGTTGCAGGTTAACTTGTGATAAGATCCGGACTCCAAACAGCCATAATAAATAAAATATAGGCTTCTGTACAACAGTAAAATAACTATAGTTATCATATATATATATATATATATAAAACAAAGTGTTATGGCTGTTTGAGGCCGACTAACATTTTTGGGGTTGCATCGAACATGACAAAAAAACCCGTTTTACTTTTTTTGCCATATTAGTTGTCACTTATGTATAATACTGCCACTCAGCATTCTCTGTATAAAATTAACACATATTTATAATAATTAATTAATAATCTTGATATACAATCCTAATAATTAATATATAAAAAAGTAAATTAGTAAAATTTGTACATATTGCACTTTTTAATAAAATCTAAATATATTCACTCTTAGTAGGAATGGTCTCTTTTGAGAAAGCAGGCGTTGTTAAGGGTCCATGTACAATAAAAAACGTGTGAATCGAAACCTGCTTCAACAAAAGAGGGATTAACAAAACAGGATCAAAACTTAATATATCGGTATTTAACAAAATGACTAAATCATTACCAGAGATTATTTACATTATCGTACAAACATCGAGAACAATAGCCCATCATTTTAACGTGGTTTATTTATAGAAACAGAAGGTACTTAAGTCCGTTTCAAGCGTATTGATATCCACGGAAATTGATTGATGAATGTTCATTGTTAAAAGTTATCTATAAGAAAACTATAACAGTTCTATTGAAAAGATAGATATATTTTAATATTTTGTTAGCCAAAGCAATATAGCCATCCTGTTGACACTCATCTGTGTAGTGTCTTGTCTTCAATGTAATCAGGCAAACAAAAATTCTTAGTACATTTTCTTAGATCTCATGATAAATTTGCAAATCTGATATTATTCCTGTTTCAGATTTAGTTCAGTGTAATTTTTTTTTATTTAAAATATTTAGTATGGTGTGGGCTATACGACATACTGAAATTTTTTTAGATATAATATTTATTAGTCACTAATGGAAAGTGAGAGT